AAACACAAAGGTCATAATAATAATAATAATCTGAGTAAAAATCAAGAAAACTTGTATAAGGTAATAATTAGTACGTCACCTCATTTGTTATTTATTGTCGAATCCATTTATAATGCAATCTTTTCTAGCCTCCTGTAGACATATATTTTCCATATTACTATATATACGAATGTACAGCTTAAGTAAATGATTTCGTCGAAAAGAAATTTTTTTTGGCTGAATTCTCTTTTTCTTATTCAATGACATTATGAGTTATTTTAGTTATCTAAAGAGCTGCAAGGATCATGCGACAGTAAAGGAACTCAGTGGGTTTCTTAGTTATTCTGTCAAGCTTGTAATAGCGAATACTAGAATCAATTTTCTGAGAAGTTGTATAGACAAACGTGAATATCCAAGACCATTTTTCAAATCATTACGCCATAACCATATTCATCCAAATCATCGGTCTTTGAAACGTCTTACTTTGAATTATGTCGATGAAATTAAATCTAGAATCCCAGAATTGGAACGGAATATCTCATTACGTTCACATACGTTATTTGATTTATCAGAAGATCAACGCTTAAAATTTAAAGATTACATTGATATTGTTAGCAAAAATCGTACCAAAGATGTGACTTTGAAATCAATGAAAAGTTTAAAACAGACGGAGATTCAAGCTTCTTTTCCCGAATCGCCAGAGAAATATGTTTTCAACTATTCAAGCATAACATCATCGACTCTTCAGCTACAAGCATTATCCCTTGGTCCAAAATTTTGTAGTACGTCTACTAACATTGATGAATTGAACGCTAAAATCCAGTTTGAAAGTCTTATTCGTCAAACAAATGACCTTATTCCTGTATCTAATAAAGATTTTGAGCATTTCAAAACAACTCTTGTAGACTGCTGTAATCAATATGTAAATAAAATCCCTACAGTTAGTCGCTTACTCACAAAAACACATAAATCTCAATTATCTGATCTTTGGAAAAATCATGACTTAGTGTTATGTCGCCCAGACAAGGGTGCAGGAATTGTACTTATGGATCGCCCTGACTATATTTCCAAAATGTCTTCGATACTATCTGATCCTGTCAAATTCTCTAAAGAAACCGTCCAAAATGACATAACTGAGAAAACCGAACAGATGCTAATTAAAATTCTAAAGAAGATGAAAGATGAGTTCATTATCAATTGTGACCTCTTTGAACATCTCAAACCATCGGGTTCTGTCGTACCTAGACTATATGGACTCCCAAAAGTTCATAAGAATAATGTCCCTTTACGTCCAATACTTGATATGAACAACTCTCCATATCACTCTATTGCTAAATGGTTAGTTGACATTTTACAACCTCTTAAAAATCATATCAACAAATACAATGCTCTTGATTCCTTTGAATTTGTCGACTCAATCAGAAATATCAACGTAATGGGTAAGAAAATGCTCTCATTAGATGTCACGTCGTTGTTTACAAATGTTCCTCTCACAGGAACCATTTGTTTTTTATGTGACTATATTGAAAATAATAATCTGGAGATATGTATCCCAAAACACTATCTTAAAGAACTACTCCTACGATGCACGCTCAATGTACAATTTAAATTTAATGATGGTTTCTATAGACAAACAGATGGAGTTGCAATGGGCTCTCCATTGGGTCCTCTTTTGGCTGATTGTTTCATGGCCAATCTAGAAAATTCAGCACTTCGTCAAATAATCCAGAAATTTCATTTATATAAGAGATATATGGATGATACCTTCATTATTTGTGATGATAACATGGACCACAATGAAATATTAAATATTTTCAATAACTGTCACCCTTCAATTCAATTTACCTTAGAGGCAGAATCGAACCACGAATTCCATTGTCTTGATGTCCATTTGAAAAGATTGCCTGATGGTTATTTACAAAGATCTATGTATGGAAAACCCACTTGGAATGGACAATACACGAATTTCCATAGTTGGGTTCCATTGAGTCGAAAGAGGAACTTAATTCACTCTTTATCATCTAGGATTAAGCGAATCTGTTCTAGTGACACAATAAATGAAGAATTACTTCATCTTCGACAGACCCTCATCAAAAATGGTTATCCACCGAGGTTCGTTGATAGCAACTTAACATCTAGACGTCAGCAACAAATAACTTTGACGGTGCAGAAGAAAACCTTGTTTATGAATATGGAATTCAAGGGAGACACGGCTGCTGAAATCCTGAATAAACGGATTTCAAAAACGTTGAATAAAACTTTCTACACAGCCAAGCTCCAAATCGTTTTCTCTAGCCGGCCTACCATTCGGGGGTGTGTTAAGGATAAGCTTTCGCTTTGGGCCACATCGATGTGTATTTATAAATTTACTTGCTCATGTGGAGCACGTTATATAGGCCGCACAAAGCGATCGCTTTCCAAACGTATCTCTGAACACTATCCAGCTTGGCTCCTAAAAGGGGAATGTAAGAAGATAACCAGTTCGATACAAGAGCACTTGATCAATTGCGGACACATTGCTCAAAAAGAGACGTCTTTTAAAATAATCTATAGAGTTAAAGGAACCGGATCAAAGGGAGGTCGAATCAATATTTTATGCACTGCTGAGGCATTGGCAATCCATGAATTGAAGCCTGAACTTTGCGTGCAGAAACGATTTGTCCAACCTCTTACCCTTCCTTAGCCTTAATTCCCTCATTGGGTACGTTTTTTGTTTTTTTGTTTTTTGTACTTTTATCTGATTATTATCGGTTTTTTATTTTTTAAATTACCACTTTACATTTAATCTCTAATCAGTTATTATTATTATTATTACCTTATACAAGTTTTCTTGATTTTTACTCAGATTATTATTATTATTATGACCTTTGTGTTTGTCGCTCTTCTTCATATCTGTTAATTGAACTATTATCTGACCCATAAATTATTTTCTTCCTTACCCCTTGATTAGTACGTCACCTCATTTGTTATTTATTGTCGAATCCATTTATAATGCAATCTTTTCTAGCCTCCTGTAGACATATATTTTCCATATTACTATATATACGAATGTACAGCTTAAGTAAATGATTTCGTCGAAGAGGAGTAAACTAGGTTTTGAGGGTTTTGTTTATCTCCAGAGTCTAGTCACTAGATGAAACTATTGCATCTACAGCGTAAATTTGGAATGGAACAAGGACGGTTTCCAGCTGTTTGGGATGATTAGAGAGAAAAGAGCTGGCTAAAAAGGCTTTTGTCAAACGTTTGCTTGTCAGTGACCCCCCTTATACGAAGTAACATTTCCGTTGGCGAGCCGTGTTCTATTTCGATACTACTTAAGAATTGACGCAAACTTCGTTGGTTGGTTAGATCTCTACGGTTAGGGACGGGATTTTTAAAATATATTAATTTTCAGGAACGTCACCAGTAAACATACTACGTGTAGCGTACCTGTTGAAATCACACTGTGATTTCTTCAATGCTACATGGAACTGTGCATGTGGGTCCATCATAAAGTGTTTATGGAAGTCAGCGTACGTATAGCAGAACCAGGCCTCAATTTTGTCAGACTAAAATAACATGAGTTGCAGGGTGGTGGGTGAGGGTGTCCTTATACGTCTATGTATGTCCCGACACAATAAGAATAAATTATAAAGGTATGCGGGAAATATTCGAGGACACAAAATAATACCGCAATATTCAGAAAAAATGTTCAAAATGATGTGATAAAAAACAAACAGTTTGTGGTCTTTGGCATCAGATCACGTCGTGATTCATCGCTAAATATGTTCTGGGTATAAAATACGTGGCAGCACTATTCTCCAGGTTGTATTTTTATTCGAGCTAGCCAGAGCAGAATTCATTAGTGGTGAAATGTGAAGGTACTTTCAGATGATGGTCGATGTTTCAGAAGAATGTAATCTAAGCTGACTAGTTTCCGTAAGAGATCTGGCGCGAATGATTTACCAAGCGACTTCAGCTAAGAGTTTGTCCAGTGGGACTGATGAAGTCTGAATTAATGTTGATGATTTATGAAACTACTTATTTTTGGGATTTGTTAATTGTTTCACATTACTTTATCAAACCATCACAATTGCTGAACTACAGCTTTGGACATCTATTAAGATTAGAGCATGAATAACCTGACACGTAACCCATGGTTGCAATCAGTAGGTTGTAAATTGACTACAGAAAGAGATAGTTCATGAATCTCCCGATGGTTACAAAGTTGGCATGATATATTCTCTAGTTTGGCTTTCAAAGAAGACTTGTCTTGATGTTGATATTTTACCAGTTCTTTTATTAAATAATGATTCATCCTACCGAATTTCTGAACCACGGAAAAGATAATTTTACTGGAGACCCTGCATTCGGAGTTTGACAACATCTAAACCAGTAACACCTACTGTAATCGAAATATTACAGTCTAGTCAAATCAAAAGTCAGAAATTATGAGTTTGGAAGATAGATTTTGATAGGCTATCGATATATTGAGAAGTGACCAATCTAAACTGGCTAACGGTCGTAGGAGACCTGAAGCACGGTGTATCCCCTCGTGACCAGATAAGGATGCGTGACCAAGCGCCTTCAGCTAAGTGAGTTCATTAAAACTAATTCGTCCGGCATCACATGTCAACGACTTAAAGAGCTACTGATTCTGGGGATTTGTTTACCACTACAACCGAGTAAATACAAGAGAAAGGCACAGTCGTGGTGATCATTTATCTAACAATGAGATGACTCGAGAGTAGAGAAAGGAGGCAATGGTGGATGGGAGGAAGAACGTATGCATGTTGATGTACCCCCAACATAAGTCTTCTGAATCAGCTAGCCCAGTCAGGGAAAAAATGCCTTGTAAGTCTTAACGTGATCTTTTGGCGCTTGAAGGACGATCTTCAAGTGTTTATCAAAACAGACAGAATGATATAAAATGTTTTCAGAACTAATTCCAGCTATTTATTTACCATCACATTACATATACTCAACCTTAAATTCTCTCCTATGACCTAAATGCAAACTCCCGAGGTACGGACGGTCCACAATCTCTCGGAAGTTTCAAGTTTGATTAAACTGTCTGTCGTCCATCTGATGGTTTCGTTGACTAGAAGGGTCAAATAAACGAAAGCATTCATGAGTCAATATTCCGCACAAAAAGCAGACAATCGGATGAATTTCAAGTTATTCACTATAATCATTCTGAGTTATAGAGTTGTTTATATGAGTTCAGGAATAGGCGCTAACACATAGTGTATGGATTTGTTTGCCAGAGCACCGCTAGCACCTTTCGAGGGTGGTGGTGTATACGATGATTTTGACGGTTCTGAGACATCCTCATTGGTAGCTGATATTGACCATCAAATAAAACGAGTTTCGTCGATCCCATTTGATGCTAGTTTCTCTTTTGAGGATTCACTAACTGATCTTATTGGGAATTTTGACGAAAGGATATATCATTGTTTCGAAAATTTTGATGTGGACCCTGAAAACGCACGAAGGAGTGATTTTTCAGGGAATGTTCCAACTTTAAGTGACGTTAAGTAAGTGAACTGCCGTACATAATCATGTTAGGCAATGGTGGGCTGCAGCTACGAGAGAGTTAGTACCCACTGAGTCTTACCCGCTTCGCAGCTTACCAAGTAATGTTAATTTGTATGATCTCGTAAGTTTATTTTTCTCTAAATTGTGTTTTTGTAAGTCATATGCTATACACATGACGTGAATTTAGTCATTCATGTAATGCATAAATTCTTTAAATAACATATTTAGAAATGGTGCGATAAGGTGAATGCAATTTTATTTCCTACTACCCCTCCACCAACTTCAGCTTCATGTATAAAATAACCGGTTCTGGCCAGTAAACTCAATTAGTTCAATTTATCCATACATAGTTCACTTCAAATTGTGCCGAATGCATGACTTTTATGGTTGTATTTCCTTCAGAACCAATGCCTTAGAAGAAATTGGGTTCACTTGATAATACTCAGGGCACACACAACACAAACACTACAACAAAAATACCATCAATACTTTAGGTATCATTTCGAAATTATGTCAAATTCGAATGTATTTTATTGACGCACTAATATGCATGTCCCAGTACCAGATCGGTAAAATTGACATACATATGTTAAACCAGAGTCATACTCATCACTTAACACCATGTTTTGTCGAAATATCTGGCGTGTGACGAAACATACAACTGTTGGTGTTATGTGACATAAACTGCATCTGATTGGGCTACTGGATATTTCTTGTTGATCTTGCTCATGGTCCATTTCATATTACAGAACACTGCGTAAAGTTCATTACTTTTGACGAAAATGACTAGTTGGTGAATTTTGGTGTGTGCATGAAGTTCCAAGCCACATAGTTTGGGTCTCAACAATCGTACCATTAATTTTAAATTAGTATTATATTTACCAAACACTTCAAGTAACCCATTAACAGCCGTTGTTGCGCTCTGTGGAATCTTGCTCGTTATTGTCCCGTTACCTATTTTACTATCATGTCCTAAGGAGTAGAGAAGCCCAGACATTTTCACAATGTCAGGCCCATAGAATGGACAATCTATCTATTCGGGGTCTTTAAAGCATCAACATAAATCATGGTATATTCTTGATGGTCTGATTTGCGTATGCTCATGGAAAGTCAGTGTTAACAACTAGGCACTAGTATTGAACTAAGCATGAAATCAACTTTCACTTCGTTTTTGTCACTATTCAGTTTTCATGGATGTTACGTCGCTCTTTATTCTTTTACTCACAGGATCAATTCGAACTTGCAGATGCCGATGGAATTACTGAAGATGGAGTTATAAAAACAAGCTTGTTGCAAACGAGTAGTGTAAGTTGACTAGGTAGTCGTATAATCTGTCTGTTCTCTTTGTGGACTTCATCGCAAACCATTACAAGATCTCAGCAGTTGTATAAGACTGTTTACTATTTATCACCAGACTAACTGCTATCACTCACGTAGAAGCTAGGCCCGTTTGTCTCAATGATATAGTCAAAATTTGTTCCTTAGTATTGTGCAGCACCAGAACAAATGTCAACATCGACAAAGCTACAAGCCGTTACCTTCGCAGTAAATATGATTCTCGGTTTTCCGAGTGAAATCGCAGGTGTGTAGACAAGGGTGCCTTTTCGCAAACTCCTACATGTTTATTAGGCTAAGTAGTGGTTGTTATCACTTTCAAAAAATTGTGGATTTGTAGCTTAAGCTGTGATCCAACTTCATTTTATTGATATTTCTGTTCGTAAACTATGGTAAACTTGAAAAACGCACTTTATGATATACGTTATTAGGTTAGAATGGATGTGGATTTGAGTTCCCACTCCGTTGATTTGAAAAACTCAGGAATACTTAGTGACGTTCCTCACCGTTTTTATCTTTCAGTTTCAAGATAACGAGGTGAAACATGTTTCAATACTTTTTGTCGATGGCGTACTCTACAACAATATTATACCTTTAGAAATTCATGTTTAATAACCTCTTACACATTCTGAAAGAAGTTGTCCGGCCCACATCAGAATAGCTATGAAAATCCCCTTGTTTCTCTAAATGCTTGTCTTTCCGTTAGTACTTCTACTTGGATTGGACCAAATACTTGGAATCAAATTCATCGACTGAGTGACCTGAATAAGATTGTGTTGTGTGCGCTTTATACTCAAGTACTGAATCCTGCTTCTAATGTACTTTGTATTAGGAAGCAGCTTAATTTCAGGCAGTGGGAGAAATTTAAGCTTGTATTGCACCAGGTTTTATGCTGATTCATTCGGGTAGTTACATTTAAGGTAATGGTTATTTTCCTGTATGTGCATTAATTCATTCACGTTTTGGATTAAAAATTTATAACGTCACAATGATTTATAGTCACTTCTTTTGAATACCGATTAGTTCAAGGCATTATCACTTCTTAAGTTTTATCTATATATATCAACTTGTTCATTAAAACCCTTTTTTTGTCACAGGCATTAAATTACTCAAACGAATCTATTTATTCAGGACGAGGCACTGTTACTACTTTATCCTTGTCATCTGTATCAGTTAGTCCTCGCTCATTAACTCTTGATCGAGGTTTCCCAAATACATTTGCACAAATCCCCGATAGTGGAATCTCAAACACTGATGAAGAGCTAAACGGTTATTTTAAAGATTTTGATGATGAAAACATCCTTGAGGTTTTCCAATCCCACCATCCTTCCCTACCTTTGAAAAAAACTGAAAGTTGGGTAGATGGTAAGTATTTGTTTTGTATAAATGTTTTACTTAGTGAAATACTAAATTAGTTAGCTATTATCCAGACTTTGTATCAGTAAAACAATATGCTCCCTTTATTGTTGATCTTAGTGCAGTTAATTTTCTAAAGAAATGATTAAAAAGTGGTTTCTAAATGCTTGGAATAAAACTCATTTTAGGACTTTCATATTGTTTTAAAAAGTACTAGTAATGCTTTAAATGGTCTTGGGAAAATGAAGTTTCAGGAAGTTCAAAAATAATTCTAGCACTCGTTGCGAATCTCCCCTAGCCACTCGTAGTTCAAAGTGGTTAATACTTTTTGTTGGAATCCTCAATTTAACTCCTCTACGTACCTAGTGAACTCATTGCAAACACTAAGGATTTTTAGGATTCTTCTGCACACCACTTCCTGACTAACTAATGGTGAACTCTGTGTGTTCCTGTCAAATGGAGATCCTGATAAAAGTATTTAAAAATCGCTTGTTTCTGCGTACCAATGCAAGGTTTTGTTTTACATGTGGTCTGTCATAGTACCTATTTTGACTGTAGAGGATGGTTTAGTGGTTAACGCACTCTCCTGCTTCAGTCTGGGCACCTGGGCAGTATCACAGCCCTCACACAAATCGAATGAGATTTGTGAGGCGCATATTTATCTGGTGCTTCATTGTACCAATATTTATGTGTTTAAATAAATAAATAAATAAATAACGCACTCAACTTCTATCTGTAAGATTTTTGGTTTTGAATCTCTCTCGCCTACTTCGGCTTGGAAAGCCTAAACAAAAATGTGGCTCAAAACAACACATAAATCAATATTTAGTCAATTCAATGTTTTTGTTTTTGACATGATTAATCAGCCGATCTCCGGAACCATATCTATCCCGATAAGTTGACAACTAAAAAAATCTCAGGACAAATAAATAAGACCTGTTTGTTAACCTATGGTACCCTCAAAATCACGAACTAAACCTGACTTTTGTAAAGTTGCCACCAATCGTCAACTTTTTTTAGCATTTTTTAATTATTGGTGAATTCAACGACTTTATGCATGTAACATACAGATTTATATCTATGGAACATTTTTTTATCTAGATAATTTAATACATATATGTAAGTTTTAGAACAAACGAAACGAAGTGAATTCCCATCTTTGCCTCAAAATTTTATTAGGGAAATTATTTTCATAAAAAGCCTTTTTGAATTTGACTTTAAATAATTTTTCAGACCTTCAAAATTTGAAAACCAGCGTTCTCAAGCTTTATGCTCAGCAAATGAATGACGAAATTATGCAACTTTCAGATTGCTTAGTGGATTCTCTGGCGGAACGAGACGAGCTTTTAATGCTTCGTGAAGCCAGCGATGACTTTATTATATTACTTAACTTGGTCCACGAGCGAAAAACTCAGGCATCCAAAGCAGCTCTTCTAGCAACAGCCAAAAGTTTGATTCGTTCCAAAGTGAGGGCTTTTACATTTGATTTTCACTTTTAATTTAGATTTATGGATACTTATTCATAAGGTGTATCAAACTGTTTCTCCTGCCAAATAGCTGGTAAACTGAAACTACTAATCCTACCATAACATAACACACATAGAAATACGATAAAAACAGAGAATCTTGAACATCACTGCAAAAAGAAATAGACATAAACAAGTTGACAAAGTACTAAATAACTATGTATAAAGTGTTTTTTTCCCACTTGTCAACTATCAAACAATTTAAGCTATCTAGTATAATAAAATTCTGACGATAAATCAATAAGGACGTTAGTTTAGGTGATTTTTTTTACCAAAGTAATGTGATCACTAATCAGCACTATGTATAGAGCGAATTCTCATCCCGATTTTTGTGGCTAATCAGTAGGGGACAGTTAGTTTTGTGTACAACTTGGTTCGTTAAAATCTACGTAGAGCTAAGGATCTCTACAATCATTTGTCATTTAATGATCAATTTGTCAGGAATTATGAACAGTTTTAAAACCACTCATTTAATGTTTGTTCAGGCTAAATGCCAAATTAAGGTTCTTTTTCCCCAATAAATACAAAAACACGCAAAATTGTTATATAAATTTTTATTCACTGAGAAACGAAAACCTTAACATGTGTATCATCTGTCTAATAGCCGGATTTTTCTAAACAATTAAATCAAACCTTGATTTGGGCATATTGATATGGAGAGCCAATCAGAAGTAGCAAAGGGCCAATCTATGGCACTCATAAGTGAGTTAAAGGACAATCGCATTTCATTAGGGTCATCGGGTCGATTTTCTAAGGATAGATTGACATATATAGGAATAAGTAATTGCGTATTTTATTCCGTACTTCCATACACTTTCTTTCTCAAGTAGTCAGTTGGAGGTTAGCTCATAGCATACCACGTATTAGTATCAGATTCCGAACACTGCACGTCACAACACATATATGTACCATGTTGTCAGTTTTCAGGCTATAACATCTTTTCCAAGATTTTTGTCAATCTTAGGTTTCCTGTAATAAAAAAGCGTTTTTATTAAGATATGACAAATCAGTGGTATTATCTGCCTCTTCCTTTGATATAAACAGTTTTGCTCATATTTGGTTGTTATGACCGACAGGATCTCAATATCTCATTCATCATTATTTAGTTTCCATAAACGTTTCTCAGATGAGTTAGTCCTACAAATAATTTAAATTTACAGAGTATACTCTAGATATTCTTACCATAAAATCCTTTGTCTTTTTAAATTTGATTCCGACCTTTTTGTTATGTCCTATTATTCCGTAGTGAGTAATTACCTCAGTAGTGGTGTATCTCTGTTTATGCAGTTCGAGCATGCATATACATTTTGTGAGTTGGTTGACAAGAGCCCTGATCTATAGTTTATAAGTTTAGTCCTTAGGTTAGTGCCCATGCCATTGTCATACATCAGTACGACAAGATTACGTTTATTAACATGTTGGGTAGGATAGTTTTATTACCTATATCTAGTCTTTTTACCAGCGTTCGAGGCACTCAAAAATGTGTTTGCACTCCTATCTTTAGGTGACAGGAAAAAAATTTTAATAGGTCGTGTAACAAACTAATCCTCAACTATGTATACTATCCTTGCCAGAAGTGTTAAGTGAATGCCTAATAAAAATTGGTTTTTACTTTTATGGGATCAAAGCACTTGATGTTCGTGAATTCGTAATTTGCTTCATAACAAACCTGAATGATTTTCGTGACATAGTTAACTTAGTCTGCGGTAGTTGCTTTTTTTCCACATGTTTCTTCTATGTAAAAGTGATTTGCTTTTCGACTTTGGTCTTGTTTTTCGTTCCATAGATACCACTCATATATTCAAGACGAATTGTTTTAGAAAACAATGTTTCATTTGAATGACTAGGTTTTATCCAAATACTTCTCGGTCTATAACATAGTGAAAACTGATGTTCGTGGCATAATAATCTAATGCAATTGATTTTGAGAATGTATCGTGAAAGTGACAACCGCCAACACAACTGACAGTGATCGAATCAACGTTTTCGACAATAAAAACCCCTTTTCAGTTCCCTTAATATTTTCCCTGCTCTTATTATCAACCGTGCTTCTCTGGTTTTGTCTTTTTCACGCTTAACCATTGCTAACAATCATATCTAACAGTTTTAACCTTAGTCTTCTAAAACCATAGTCTAAACTGCGTGGAACCTGGATTCGATGAAAAAAACCGGCTTCGCTAGACAGCACTCTAAACTTCTGTACAATTGATTTGCTGTTCATATGAAACGCACAAAACTCGAGTGTGGCCATTCACTTGACCTCACTTATCTAAAGTAGAAAATCAGCACGATTCACCCTTCCTGTATCTGGATACTCATAGAAGATATGCTGTTGAGATCTTACAGTTCTACAAGTTATTCAAGTGTTTCAAACGCAGCCAATTGAGTTTTTTGCTTCTTCTCGATCTATCATGTTTCCTCTTGATATGAAGAGGCAAAATTAACCCCGATAGTAAGACATTAATTCCATAAAAGGATAAGTGACGTATATTTGCAATGTCCTCCATTCGTTCGCGCGTTGACTTTTAACGTTTATTCTTGTGTTCAGCATTCATTACGTAAGCGTATAGTTTTGCTAGCAGCAAAAGTATTTTGTCAGGCATCTGTCTTGTCTCTTTATATCAGTTCAATGGAAAACTTTCCCCAACAATCTCATCTCGCAAGCAATCGTCACTCGGCCACAATAATGGTATATGACATTATATTATTACATTTTATTATTCGATGCATTTGCCCCACTAATTCGACAATCCCTGAACATCTGTTCTTCACAAATCATGAAAGACTAATTCATAGCATTTGTTAACTAGAAGCGTATTTTTGAGTAAAATAATTATCTTTACTTTCATTTTTCCGATTTCTGTGTATAATGTTAAGTCAGTCAATCAGCTACAACCTAGGACCAGGGACATATATGCATTGGTCCAAGTTGTCACATCTCATTAGCACAGCAAAATGACCAACAAATTCATAGACGTTACTTCAATGGTAGTAATATATAAAAGAGAGATGTTATATAAGGATATAATACAGGGAGAAAGAATTAGTTCGTAGAAAGAAAGGTATAAAGTAATTTTAATCTCACATTTTAAGGGAAGACAAAGAGTGTATACACCTACATCATTGTGATCATTTTTGAACCATGTCACTCAGAGTATCCGACCATCGGTTACGTTAGTTGCACGAACCCCAATCAAATAGTCTGCATCTACCAACATGGCTCATATCGTTTGACACATTTGATCACTAACAGGTTACTAAGTGTTGTTCTTTTTTGTGTGATAATTGTCAGTTTCTGTTATAGCCAAATATACAACTTCAAAATAATTATTTTCTGTTCATGTTTTGTCATTGAAAAAATATCTCTTTGATTCTCTAGACTTTGTTTCGTGTCACTACTCCTTGGTTTACTAAAAGACCTCACATATCTGCTTCTAGTACACTGTCGTTAGTTGGATCTTCAGATATCGAAAAACCAGGCACCACATCACTTACCAGAAATGAATCAAACGGACACGTCCCAGTGAATTCAGTTCATTTAGATTTACAAAATAATTCTGTTGCTTATGTGGCCTCCCTTAATCTTCATTCAAAACTAAGAAGACCCAGAACGCAACCAATACATATTCACAGGACAAATAATTCAGATGTTAAGAGTGTTTCCAACCCAGTCAATTCGATTGGTTCTAAACAACTAAATGAATCACATCTATCTGAACGTGCTAATTTATCTTTAGAAAGCATAAAATCAATACCTACCAGACAAGCAAAAATACGATATGAAGCTCTCGTGAATTTGTGCAACTCTACTAATTGGCCAAATGGTAAACCACAAAATAGCCGAGTAAGTATGATCTTTTTGTTGTTGAACGTAGTAATAACTTATCGGCATCTGGAATAATTCATAACCATGTTTACCAAACTTCACACTACCATAAACACTACTGGTAAAATGTCATCGGAATCGGTTACTTCAAGTAGTGTTCGTCACGATCTCCCGCTTTCACCACTTTTATTTAACTTAGGAATTTACTGCACATCAGTTCACTCCATTCTACTTAATGAATGTGAAACATAACTATTAAGAATAGAGGATATTCTCAGGTTATTGGTATTCCATTATCAATGTCTACGAAGCATCGCTCGTGTATTTTGGGACCAAGGAGTAAGCAATGCCTGGATTAGGAATAGAGTACTAGGCAAAGACGGGGAATCGGATGTTAAGGTAGTAAATCTTCAATTGAGGTAATGGGGACATGTATTACGTATGCCCAACCACCACCTACGTGGATGAACGTTGTTTTGTGGTGCAGCAGTAAGCTGAAATCAAACTAGGGGTGGCCGAACCAAAACTTAAGATAAGTCCATCAAGCCACTGACAATTGAACTGCGCTATGTTTCATGGGTCCAGACTACTTGGTTGGGGTCCGCTTAATTATCTTAACTAGTGATTAAAGAGTTTGAATGACATGGCTCAAAATCGTTTGCGATGGTGCAGGTGCATCCATTCTTTGCCTTCCCCTAACTTCTAAGCTTTTGATATCCTTAGTCTTTTTATTTCACTAATTTATGTCCTCTTGAATTTTCTATGCCTAATCTTTTCGACTACCTCTACTACTCTCATATTTGGGCTGGTGATCTCATCTCTTTGTGCTGATGGAATATGGCAACTTAAACTGATGTACATACTTGCCATGTTCTGCGTTGCAACTGACTGACATTACCATAAGCTTCCATAAGTAATAGGTTTTTCTATCGTAAAACGATAGACATAAAATAACTTTTTAACTAATTTTCATAACAAATATTATGTATACATATGCCTACAAGAAAAAAGTAACATGTTTTGTGTTTTCTTCACTTTTCTATGGCATAGTTATCGGCAGTATATTTTTACTACCTGGTCCTCTGTTCTTTCATTACTTCTAATTTATTTCAAATGGTTGCTAAATACTTGATCCACTCAAATAATCTCAGTAATTAAGTGAAAAAATGAAGACGAACCATATATTAAGTATCCAAGTCCCTAACAGATATAGAACTTAAAGTTTCCGGAAATTCATTATTGATTTGTTTTCTTATATTTTTTTAAACTTTTGACAGTTCTTACTGTGTTGAGGGTTTGATGTACATTTCCTTTCTGCACCATTCACGATTTTCTGAAAACGTCATTTTGCGTACTGTTTTTTCCTGCTCTAAACATTCTATTCTTTAGAGATTTCAACTTTTAACCTACAGTTGTTGGTTGCTCAACAAAATAAAATTTCTTTATCCTACACATAAATACTCCGAAAAACATATTACTTTTATCACTATAAAAAACACACTCAAGGTATTAAATGTTTTATCCGCTAGAAATATTTTCGTGGTGAATTTTCTACTGTCTACAGTTATCTACTCATGTACTTATATCAGTAATTATTTTATTTAGTTCCTAATACAGTTATTTTTTATAATTGTAATTAGTTGACCACTTGTTTTACTAAGGTTTCAGGAGAATCTTGATTTTTTTGAGGATTCTCGTCTGGTTTACTTATTGACACATTTTGAAACCAGAATTCGATACTGTTGTTAACAGGCTTTTGTTCCTTTGATATATTTTGCTTACCATCACCTTTAATCCTATGGTTACTAATTAAATTTACAAAAGTATGTCGCGTATGTTTGGTTATTTCCCCATTCGTGGATTGACCATCGGTATCCTTTTATATTTCTCACTGATTGTTTTTTTATTTATTGTTGCTTTTAGTCCTTACTTTTATGTATACCATATCGAATCAAACCGGGTGTTGGAATTTCCATACAAGATTTACGTCTACTTAATCAAAGTGAGTTTTTAGAATGAAATCAGCCCATAAAGTTAATGTCTACTAGTCTTAGCTATATAGGAAGGTGCAGGCTTTCATGTATAAATCTGTGGAATAATCGACACTTGCGATTAGAAATCCTAGGTTATGTAGTTTGTCAGTCAAAATGACAAAGTTGAATTTATTGCAGATTTTCCTTGATATGATAAGTTTAATATTGTTCCATATTTTTGATTCTTCTTCCCCATTCACTTTTTATATTTGTCGTTACAGTATTTTCACTCGTCCTTTTCATCTAAGTAGTTTCCTATCTCGTTCTACTGCTGTAAGGTGTAGTAACTTGGGTCAAGTCATAAATTGTCTATGATATACTGACTAGTTAATGCAACATTTCAGTGTACATAACCAAAAATGATAATTGCAAACTAATCCTATCGCAAGGAACTGAAAAAAAGGTAATGGAAGTCTTTAGTTCTAGGTAATATGAAATTGACTCATGAATTCAACTATAAAATAAAGAAGTGATTCAGCCTGTAACAATAGGAAATAACATTGTTAGAAGTAAAAATAATTTCAGATTTTATTAATAAGCGAAAAATTGTCTCCTGTTGTCATTAATCAATGCAATTAAAACATTTTAAACTACTGTGATATGTTTTCTGTCAATCACAAATAGTAAGCAACATAGCTTACTACTGTTATAATTAGCTTTTTTTATGCATCTTACAGAAATCAAATGGATTACTTGTTTTTTTTCGCTCTACACCTCAAAACATTTATTTTATTCGATTGATTAGTATGTTGAATTTCTGGCATGGATTTAGAAAATGGTTGTCCCTACTAAACATGTCTTTCCACCATAGATGTATTGTAGTGATTCGTTGTGTAGCATGTTTACTAAACCTTGCCTATTGGAAACTAGATATATGGAATATTAAGTTCTATCTCATTTAGTGTATTTGATATTCGAGTTTAATTATTTTGTACGTATACTTAACTGCTAATCCTGAACCAATTTGCTTTTTCGTAGTTCTATATGCTGCTGTTCTTGAAAACCCCAAAATAGAGAAATTACTCGAAAGTTACATAATGAACGGTGAGTTGATCAAACCAATGTAAATTTCTTATATTTTCTCTTATTGTTTACCGTTTTAAGTTGTTAGAATGAGTTATTGCTGTTATGTAGACATTTAGATCCTAATACTCAGTCAATAAAACTAAAATCTATCTGTATGGTGAAAAAAACCTAATTATATCTTTTACATAGATTCGTAGGAAAAGTTACAGTCGTCACAACAGTTTTAAACCCTACCTAACTAGGTGACATGTTACCACATATAGATACTGAAATATTTTATGTTAGATCTGTATCTGACAAGTTTCATAGTTTGCTATTGAAAGCAATACATTAATCTCCACCCTATCAATTAATCAAAACCTTCAGTAGAGTAATATATTAAAAAAACCTTACAATTTGATAATGAATTGTTGCTGCTCATGACAATTACACATTATTAGAAAACGTCAATCGTCATCCCGTGTACTACATACTTTCTCTATTAGCGACTCTTCCCCATTCTTATCTGTATTTCTTTTGAATATTCTTCCCGAATTCACCGTCCTAATAACAACATAGTTTAAAAGTTTGGGTTTACATATTTTTGCAGAGACATTGAAAGCCAACTTAAAGCAAGTGTTACTCGGTAGTCATATTTTCTTCTTAAGGTTTGTAATATAGGTGTGTTTGGTCGTTTTGAGCAGCTAGGTAGTATAATTAGCCTTAATATCCAAGTACCTGGCAATTAAAATGATTTGTCGTTTTCATTATGTTCAGTTGAAGGATAGCGACAGATTGTTTTATCTTTCTACATTTTCAACACTCGTTTGTTATTGTCAACTGATTTTGTCACCAATGTTTAGTTTTTCTCAATATGATTAATACTACTATCATGTTGACTTTCTTAGTAATCTTGTCAATTTTATCTCTGTTCGCTGATATGGTATGACAACTTGAGGTGACACACATTTTTGGTTATCTCTACGCTAATTATAAATGACTGACTACATCTTTTAATAAAATTATTATTTCATCTATGACACATTTTTACCGTTATTATTTTTGCCATTTTTAAGTGTCCGTTGATGAAGAAATATTATCCTCTCCTAATCATATATGATTTTCCAGTTCATTCTTATTAAATAATTATATCACTCTATTATGAACTGTCGGGTTACAAATTCTTATCCTTACTACCTACTATGGTTACTATTTTTACTCTTGGAAAAATAAGTCAAGCCTTAAATGTAACTGTTAAGTTATAATTTGTTTATTATTATTGTGATAATTAGACAAAACGGTTAATTGGGGTACTGTACTTCATAAATTGTGGAGTGATCACCATGTATGTCATTTCATTTCCTCTTTATGAGTAATAAGAAATGAAGCAAGTAAATTCTGTGTAATTTAGGTTATTAGCTCTAATTGTATAGTTTTGATAGTGCTAAGCCGTAATGGAGTGTAATCGGTTAAATTCTTATACAGGATAACATTTCTCTGCGTTAAATACAACCTACAAATTCCAACTACGTTGTCCTAGAACTGATTGTAATTACTAACCACCTATCTAGATCAAATCAGGTTTAACTTGTTTATAACCATGGAATCAATAGTTGGGATTTCAATACATACACCATTGATCTAAAGTTTCATAACTGACTATTAGTATGTCTTTTCTCTCGAATTTCAGTTACCAATTCTAATGACATCGTTAACTGGATAAAAACTGTTGAACCTCTTCGGTGTTATGATGCCCAAAAGTTAAATGGTGTTTCATACCAAAATCAACATCGTAGTCATCTCCTATCGACATCAATGCAAACGCAATGTGCTTGATTGTCTTTCATAATTCATCGTTTTTCCTCATGCTTCCATCCTAATTTACAAAGTATATTGCATTTTCTAAAAATCTTTTCAATGCTTAGTGTGTGAATTTTAAGCTTAAATTTTTGTTGGCATTAATAACCAATTCTCAAATTGAATATGCTGGATAGCGTATGCATTTTATTACTTTTAACAAATTACAATTCAGTTTTGTCTAATGCCTACAGCTTTTACTACATTAAAATTGAACACGATTTGATTTACCACATATATATTTATATAATTTGAGCCACTAGTGCTTTTTTCAACTTCATTTTTTCATCTCTTTAAATTTTATTCACTTAAGTTGTCATGTAATTTCACTAATTGGTTATCTTTTTTTGTTACCATACTTATCATTTACTTTTGTTGTTTTGTTTCTATATGAATTCAACGTTAGAGGCAAGTTTCTATTAATGCTTTTGTTGTATATCACACAATAAAAGCATTTGTCAACATGCTTTCACCAACTAGGGAAACAGTGTTCATGATTCTTGCTCACTATTGGCTTCGGTACTAAACATGATTATAACTTGTTCTTTGTTGTTAAGATAGCCTTTTTAACTGTACTTATATATTACATATTTCTTGTTCATTCTTGGCATTACTATATGCGCTTTAAAAGAAATGCGTGTTACCTTCATCTTCCTGTGAATTGTGCAATATTTTATTGTTTTAATCATGTCATATTTACAGTGCCCTTACTATTTTATTCTCGTCCAATTAGGAATCGATTAAAGTTAAAGTTGAAAAATAACATCATAGACTAATTTGACCAACTTAGAGCTGTCCTAGTTGAAAAAGTAGTATAAAATAATCTTTTTTAAGGTACTGTTTTAGTCTTGTCATGGTACGACGCAATAGAACGTCTTATTACGGTTTGCAACCAAGGTGCTTATATATATATATATATATATATATATATATATATATATATATATATATATATATATATATATATCGTAAGTATTTTAGTGTTTTCCTCAGCGCGTTTCTAAATCACGTGAAGTTTTTCGCTATCTCTGTGTGTTAATTAGGACATTTCAATTTTGATAGTTAATGTCATACAATTAGTTCCGTTTTTAATTTGTTCATAAGTTGATTATCAAAACTCTCATTGTCGATAACGTTTGATATTTATACCTATTAGATTATATCGTCAAATACTACGCTTGTTTGTGACTTTGCAAACACCTTAAACATGACCCTATATTTTTATGGTGCTATAACGGGGATGACGCATGGGTAAACATGCACATTTTTCCTCACAGGAACCAATATTTATTTCTCATTAACAGAATTTAATCCATGTGTTCTGTTTCTAGAGATGGATAGTGACCAAGACATCCTGTTGACCTAGTGCTGTTCGAAGTTCTTCAAAAATAAGAATTATTTTCGAAAGCGCTCACTGCGCTTGTCTACATACATTAAAAATTTTGGATAAAAAGGTTATTGTATAAATGTTGAATAATAGAAAAACCGCTTAATCTGATCTTATTTATTTATTTAAACAAATATTTGTACCAAGGGGCACCAGATATATATGTGCCGAACAAACCTCATTTGATTTGTATGAAAGCTGTAATACTGGCCATGTGCCCAAACTGAGGCAGGTGGTTTTCTTGGGGGGCCACACCCGGACCTTTGACCTAAAGGTCCGATCCACAGGGCAGTGGAGCATCGTAAGGCCCGACCGTTGCTGTTATCTTGACGTGGTGGTCGGGCTTGCCTATCGTGATGATCCAATCGAGCTATGCTGGCTGGAACAATCGTTCCTCGAGGTCCTACCATGCCAGATAGGTCGGTTGAAGAGCGGTAAGACTAAAAGCAGCAATCCAAAGGTCCGGAGGCGAAGTCGTACTACCGACTGTACAGAGGTGTGACGGCAGTAAGGTGTTTCCTTCAGACAACCAGCGTAACAGCGATGCTGCCTTCAAGGAGGGGTGGGGTTAGAAAAGGTCGACACTAAAAATGCACACCTCGCCTTATCCCACGGATTTCCGTCTCCGGCTGTAAGGTCCTTTGAAGAACGGAGCTAACACGTCAGAAATTCCCCACAAAAATGCCGTGCGTGATCGGCCTCAAGCAGTTGTCCCTTGGGCACTGCGGTCACGTTCCCAGGTCGTTATGACCAACACTAATCCGACTTCATTTTCAGGTCCCTCAAAAAATACCCTTCCACGGTATGGGCAGCCGGGAAGTGAAATTAGCCCTCATACCCGTAACTGCACATGAGACCAAGTTGGTCACATTCAAATCCTTCCTACACCTCCTAATAACTCTCTTATCTCCAAGCCTACGCAATGATCGTGAACAGTGGTGGGTAGCGAAAGCAAGAGAGATGGAAAAGGCAGCGCCAATAGGTAATGGTAGACAACTATTCAGACTTATTAAAGAAACCGGCATTAGGAACCCAACTACTAGCGAAAGGATGGTAGTCCAGTACTAGCAGCGAGATTGACCGAGGTCTTAGGTAGAATCTGCGAACTGACTGGTCCCAATCACTGATTGTGCCAGTCTATAAGAAAGGACAAAAGTCCTCTTGTGACAATCACAGAGGGATCAGTTTGACTAATATAATGTCTAAAATGTTAGCTTCAATAATACTTCGGCGCCTAACCAAAGCTCGTGAGGAGCAGATTAGAGAAAACCAGGCTGGTTTCCGACCTGGACGTGGTTGTATAGACCAGATATTCACTCTACGTCAGGTCCTAGAACATAGACACACATTCAGACGTCCCACAATCGTAGTATTTCTTGACCTTAAGGCGGCATTTGACTCCGTTGATCGTGAGGTCCTATGGCAGTGTTTGTCAGTGAAAGGAGTACCAAAGAAGTACATAAAGGCTCTCTACTCGAACACAACTGATCGAGTTAGAGCCTATGGCGAACTGTCATCAGAACTGATTACCACAAGTGGCGTTCGTCAGGGCTGTCCACTCTCTCCATACTTGTTTAACTTTGTCGTTGACATGCTTTTAGAGATATCACTTTCATCATCTCAATCTCCGGGAGATTCACTTGTTGACTTAGAATACGCCGACTACATAGTTTTATTCGGTGAAGACGCTGACAAAATACAGAGTCTTCTGACCACTATAAGCAACAATGCAGGCACGTTCAAGGTGCGATTCTCTCCCTCGAAGTGCGAAATGTTACTTCAGGATTGGGTTGCATCGACACCTGAACTAATGATAGGGAGTGAAGTAGTTGAGCGTGTCGACAGCTTCACTGATCTTGGGAGTCTCATCAGCCCTTGTGGTCTGGTGTGTGACGAAATCTCAGCACGGATACAGAAGGCTCGTCTAGCTTTCGCCAACTTGCGTCATTTATGGCGTAGGCGAGATATCCGTCTAACAACAAAAGGACGGGTTTATTGTGCAGCAGTTCGTTCTGTCCTACTTTATGGCAGTGAAACATGGCCGATAAGAGTAGAGGATATTCGTAGGCTAGTAGTTTTCGATCATAGATGTCCTCGAAGCATTTCTCGTCTATCCTGGGACCACCGGGTAAGTAATGCAGTCGTTAGGAAACGGGTACTAGGTAGGGATGGCAAATCGAAAGCACTAAGTTATGATATTCGGTCTGTCCTTCTTCGGAGTAATGTCCTCAATTTTAGGTATCAATGTGTTTACAGTCAATAACATTGTGGAATACTTGTATCAAAAAAATATTTTAACAGTTTATCAGTGAATTCAAATATATTTTTTGATATTAGAAAGTGTTATCTGTTTAAGTGATTAAGTGGATTAAAAGTCAATCCTATCTCAAAACGAAAATTCGAGGTCATAGGTTGTTAGTGCTTTTGTCTATTGTAGCAGTTAGACGTTCCTCAAATAATGTGTCCGACTCAAACAAAAATAAAAAATTTTGAATGTACAACAAATCAACTTTACAACATCACTTTCTATTACAAAGTAATCATAGGGAGTTATGTTCATTTGTGAGACAATGCTTTTTAGCATTTTTCTAAAATATGACTGATGACCCTTACACTTTATTCTATTTCGATCAAATAAAGGGACCCAGTGAAGTGTTATCATGACTGTTTAGATACTCAAGAACTAAAAGTTACAAACAATCTATGCATGCGATTCTAATATAATTAATCAATGACTGTGATTTTGTTAAAGATTGAACATACTTTGTTTCTAAGATTAATTGACTGATCTTCGTTGATACTCTGCATTTTGGTGGATTTTTGTTCTCTGAGCTCATCCACCTGAGCTACAAATCTTCGCTGTCTCAATACTCTGCATTTTCTGCAGGAAAAGATGTCCCGGTGCTAAATTTGTTGATAACACATCCTAGTTTTTAGTTGAAATATGAATCATTTAATCGGTAATGGTTCATAAATAACTGAAATCTTATACTATTGTAGAGAATCGAGTATGATTCCGATTAAAATTTAATCAGTGTACAATATTTCATTAACTATGAGGGTTAAGTTGTTACTACATTACGATTTATTGGTCATAAACATCCTCTACCTGTCGAATAAGCGTTATAATGGAACGATCTAGGATTTTTCAAGTATATAGTTGTTTTGACTGATTATCGAAATTTAACGAGAACTCATATTACATCTAATAGTCTGTTAGTTGGGTAATATGAAAAAAATATATTGTTCATACATGGATGAAAATTTATAATTTCTGTGTGCCTGATTTGTATGAATGTTTCATTGTGAATGTAGCCATTATTGTGACCTTACGTTTATTTATAGTAACACAAAAATGGGATAAAGAAACGATTGTGTATGCATTAGTGATACTACTTGAACTTCGATAGACAACTTTATTTCCGATTTCCTTTTCGATATTCAGGCGTCTACATATATAAACTCATAGTTATGTCGATAAGTATATCTTCTGTGAAATTTAACTAAAACTTATGAAGATTGACAATGTGACAGTCCAATAACTGGAATAAATTTCCTCTAACTGAGGATAACGTGAGACGACTTTTAACCCTGTCTCAGAATTAATGATTTTATTTAAAGATGTTTGATTAACTAAATGTAGATACCAAGCACTTGTTCATATATATAGCAAAACCTGAAGGACACTTCCGAGTACTTTAACATATACGACATTTACTCTGGGAAAAACTGAAATGGTGAGAGTAATACTTCATGGTGAATAAGCTACTTTAAAAGCTGAGATTTCTTATATAAATAGTATCCACAAGGCGTTTTAACAACTGTAGTTTACTAATTAAAATTTCATTAGTTTTATTTCTTAACCATTGATCTCAGTAGATCTTAATAATATTATACATAGCTCTTTCTTATTTATCTAGTAGAAGAATGCTTGTCTAACTAGACAATAATAGGGCGTTAACATTAATACGTATTCAATTTCTCCCTAATTTACTGTCTTATTTATAAGATATTCCATTGAAACAAGGATTTTTAGTTGAATAATTTAATTGGCGTCATTCAATTACTGGTGTTACTATTGTGGTGTTGTCTACTTATATCTATATAAGTAGTATATGGTGTGGGTCAGGCATAGAATGTATTTTCGCTGAAGACCGATGAGGAAAGAACTGAAATGAAACGCAATCGTTTGGAAAATGCATGAGCAATGGAATAAGAGAAGAAACAGTGAAGATTGAAACAATTGGTTGTTAATTTGCAAATTGACTGTTCATTGTTTGGTAATCAGAATTTACTGAGATAGTCTGTAATTTTTGCTTAAATACATTCGATTGTCCCCAACCAGTGTTTTGTTCACTACATTTGGTGTCGCTGCCAACCAGGAGGAGGAAGGGTGCTGTTCTGCGGACACCGCTGCGGGTCTGGAGTTGAGGTGCCAGTTGGGGCAGTCTGGTGCGGAGAGGTGGCGTCGAGTGGAGTGTTCTGACGTGGCGGCGTTGGCTGTGGCGGGTGCT